GATGCCATTCTTTTAATATTTTGCGAGGGATAACCGCGAGTGGCTTGTTTACAATTTTGTGATGTATAAAGTTTTTGATAGAAAAACTTTGATTCGCTAGAAACGAGATTGTTAACACTAATATCACTTTAACTGTGCCTGTCTCATATCCGTGCTATTTCAGTGCGTGTTATCTGGCCTGACTACAACTTATAAAAGGGCTTAAAGTATTTACTTACTCTTCAAAGGATGGGAGAGCGATACCTTGTACTTCTATCCCTCAGGTTTCTGAACATACAATTTTGACGAGACTGTAATCGAACCTTTGCAAGCTGCAGCGACTGTACTATGTTGTCACTAAACCAAAGCGTCAGATTATAAGTATGTCGGACACCATTATATTCGTATTAAAATAAGCTGAAACATTTTCTCCACAAAAATAGTTATATCTGTAAGCGGTGCCTAACCTACCCGCTCTGAATTACAACATTTTTGCGCGATTGTATCACACATACCATGGTTAATGAACGACATCGCTCCAATGATTTAATTGTTCCCATAATTAAGCCCTTACAACGTTACCCACTGCGCAATAGTTAGTCAGAAACAATTCATTTTTTTAATGACCTTCGTAGAGGAATAAATACAGAACATACAATCGATTTTCTTAATTTTCTAAAAGCACCAGCTGTTTTATATGATATATTTTAACTGATAATAATGCTGTCTGATGTAAAAAAAAATAGAAAAGAAATCGAAGCTGTAGTTGTATAATAAAAACACAATTAATTTCAGCAGTAAGAATAACTGAAATGGAGAAACCAGCAGTGGATACACATACGGGCTTATGATGATGAAGATTATTATAGACCTATACTTTCATTTCTTTGATTATATACTGCTACAACTAAATTAGTTGCTGTAATTTTTTTTAATCATTTATTTCGTTGACTCAGTATATATTATGGTTTACATTAATGATTTATTAATATTAACAAAATAATTTAAGACTAATGTTTAAAAATAACCTAAGCTGTTTCGTATCTAATATGCTTCGCGTTTTAATCCGTGAAAGTTATTTAAATGTTTACTATTCGTATGAACTACACACAAGTAAATTGTCGAAAGTATTTTCACACCATTTTAATTGCGTGGAATCGAAACAAGATCCCCGAGGGTAGGAACGCTCGCAAATGTGTCGAAACACACTCAGCGCAGTGTGTAAACGTCGGAATAATTTTCGTCCAGAAACCACAATTAATCGAGTCAATAAAACTTGCTTGTATTTGAATAAGGATTAACTTGCTTATGATTGAACGTTGTTTGAGTAAAATTAATGTGATCTACATTTCAAACAAACCTATTTCATATTGTATTGTATGTCGTTTCAACTCGAAATGAGTCTTTGTATAATTCTTTAAATAGCCAAAGTACAAAAAGCCTACTCTTGTAAATTGTAAAATGGTAGAAAAGGGTGCCAAAAAGAAATTTAGTGGTATTTTACGTTTTGAGATATAAAACGAAACGGTTAATAAGGTTTTATAAGCTCCAAGTTGATGAAATGTACTTTCGAATTGCTTCAGATAGTAAACTGTAGGTCAAACAAGACGTAATTACATTAACGATGCTTTTAAATTTCCTACTTTAAAGTTGTAATCGCGAGGTTTTATGGAAGCATTTCCACAGTCATTAAATGTTAAGCGTAAATAAAGGTTTTATATCAACGAACAATATTTTTAACCCACAATTTTCAAACAATGAATAATGTTCTTACTAGTAGTACTCAATCATAATTCACGAAAATTACTAATTTTTTAGTCTTTTTTATATCATTTTTCATAAAAATACCTTGAATGAATGAAGGTACAATGTTGCACGTTCTCTTTAAAACTAAGTCAATAGTTTTTGCAATTATAACTTATAAATAAGATATACACAATGACAACTAAATATGACTAAATGAATATTGTACAAGCTATTTTAGTTAATGGAACATAAAGAAAAGGAAGAATGTGAATCGTATGTTATCGTAGTATTATGCATGATGGCACATCGTAACGTTCATAAATGGCAAACAATATAGATAATCATATGGCCTTCTCCCACGAACACAGACTCAAATGTACGCAGAATACGCTATTCATACATTACTGGCAAGGGCAAGAAGTGTGGGCCAAGCCATAAGCGACGTGTCGCGAAATAAAAGTTCAAGTTTTTCAAGTTAATTTTAGGATTGCTTTCTTACTTAATATATATTTAGTAGTTAAGACATCAAGATGTTTATACTGTATGAGAAAAAAAATACATTTTAATCTCTAAGTTTATGAAGCTGGCAAAGCCATAATTTATTCAACTTTTAAACACGTCAACTGATTGCGCAGATATATGCACTCTCAATCGTTTGACATGATGAAAAGCCGCTTGTCCCTTGCCCCACGCGATCCTTAAGTGCCCTCTTCAATTTCTGCTACTACTTATTAATGAGTAAAGATAGGTCCGCGTTATGTCTGACGCTTTGTCATACATTTTATGTATGCTGTCATACTTTTAATAAGCTGCACATTAGCAATTGACCGCACTCTCATAAAATTACAGACACAAATATAGATATATTTGAGTTTGCAATATTTTATAGATATTAACTTAAAACCTGTAAGTCGAGTGTCGAGTGACAATGAGTACAAAACAAAATTCCTTACGTAATGTCATAATGAGAAATTCAACAAAATAGTTTTCGCAAGATAAGTTTCAAATCAATGAAGTTTTTAAAATATTCTCTTATTTTTGTAACACGACTTATGTCACTACTAGGTAATACTCTATTTTAACATTTTTTTTAAACAGATTAAAATACTTTTATATTTATTCAATCTTTAATTTATGTAATTACATATTTGTAAATATACCTTTTATTTGACGTGTATAATTTCTTTAAAAAGTATTAATATATAGTTTTAATCATTTAATCATTCTAATCATTTTAAAAAGTATTCATATATAGTTTTAATCATTTAATCATTGGGATTTGGTACACAACCTCAATTCTACATCACTAACTAGATGTAATAAATGAACTTTGATGATGGCATCATTTGATAACTCATCTCATAAAATAAATTCTGCCCTCGTCTTCGCTTCAATATACAAGATTCAATCCTTCTGAAGTCGTGTCAATACAAAGGCCTAATTCTTCACAAGTTGTTAAGATCAAAGATCTACGTGTGAATCCTGTTAGCTGCGTGGAGACGACAAAAGCCTTTGAGGCGTCGTTAAATTCAAGATTCCCTTGTATTTACACGTTTGCATCGTTACAGTTACTGGCGCTAGTAGATTTAAATCTGTTATTAACTCGAGCGGTATTGTTTTATTCTGTGTATATTAAGTGTGGTTCACTTTTATTTAGTTTATAGAATTTTTAATTTAGGAAAACTTCTTTTAAAAACGTGGCTGATATTTCTACGGTATCGTAAATATTGTTACCCCAAAATTTGTTTAAAGGTTTACTGTAAAATAAATGTAAGGAATAATTATAAGCTACAATGGTATAGTTTTGTTATTATAAATATATATCAACAATAAATTATTTAATATCTTCCATTCTTTTTAACTAAAATGTCAACATAATAGTAGAATTTAAATAACTAGTATTAATAACTTTGTTACTCAAAGTCCGAACTAATGTAGTAATTTAAATAAAAATTTAAGTTTAAAACATATATTAGTTAAACTTATTTGAAAATGATTTTTAACTTCGGCCGACGTTTCGGATGCTTTCACAGCCTGTAGGTGAGATAAAGATGGAGGATGTCTCTGAGTCTCCTTTGCAGGATTTTTGGTTGGTCAAAGAGTCGATATTTTCAAGATTGTACGCAAGCAATTGAAATCAAAAAAACAAATTTCAATAGGGAGGACGGCCTCATATCAACACCTATCCATATTAAAAACTCTGGAACCAATAAACAGCATACCAGCAAACCAAGAACTTAGTCAATTCTGTAAGGACCTGGCCAGTTTCGCCAAATACATCTGACGAACAGATGGCGCACGTAGCAATTCTTTACTTTGAGTCAGAGACATCCTCCATCTTTAGTCTCCCCTGACCACGGCTGCTGCAAAGCATCCGAAAGTCGGGCGAAGTTAAAATTCATTTTCAAATAAGTTTAATAATATATCGCGTTTTAAACCGTTAAAGTGTTTTATTTAAATGTGTACTACTCGCGTAAACTATAGACAGTATTTAATGTAGTAATGTTTCAGTAAATTTTTAATTATGTTACATAAACAATGTCATATATTTACATCTATTTTTTTAAAGGTAAATGTTGTTTGGTTCTAATTCTTTATATGAATCACAAAGAAAACATACAAAGAATAAATGTTACGACTTGTTGTTATATTATCTTTTCCATAATATCCAAGTGAATTGATTACTGGCTAAAACCTAAATGACTAAAAGCAAGCCAGTGGTACGTAGTAGTGCAAACGCTCCGCTAATGCTACAATGCTCGTGGACAATGGACACTTCCGAGCTCAGTCGCGATGTTCTTACGCCTCTTGGCAGCCTTTACGATTTTAAATCTTCTTTTGTATTAAAAATATTCAAAATATACCGACTATTTCGGAAGCTACACAGTAGAATCTTTTGATTTTTTAGTATCTGAGTGAATATTTAATTTGTTAATTTGATTCCTACACTATTATAAACGTCAATATATTATTAACTAACCACCCACCCCGGCTTCGCTCTATAGTATAGAAAAACTGTGAATGTTGTATATAAAAACCTTTCTCTTGAATCACTCTGTCTATTAAAAAGAACCGTATCAAAAAATGATGCGTAGTTTGAAAGATTTAAGCCTTCATATTCGGACTAAAAAGCGACTCTGAGTTATACTCTGTAGTAATAGTGATGAATACAGAAAATTATCTTTTTTAGTTAAAGTACGTTTTTTTAATAATGATTATTAACTTATACATTAAAATTAGGAAAGACTTGCCAATATTCTTCTCGTTTGCTTCAGATATAATTCAAGTGTGGTCGGTGCCAGGAGGTGAGACTCGTCTTCCTTGCGATCTGGCTGCGTCTGCAAGAGATGTGGCCATGATGATGTGGTTCAAGGATGGTGACAGAATGCCTATTTACACGTAAGGCAACTTAATTTATTTAATACTAGTTAAATGTACATATGTCATTGGGAGTGTGTTTATTTGAAAAAGGAAAACAAAAAGAGAGTTACTACAGTGGTTTGGCACCTGGATAAAACTCTACTTAATTAGCACTTTGGTTTTATTTAATTGTTTCAAGAGTATTTTTCAATATTGTATTACTTTACATTAAAGTACAGATCGTAGAACTAGATGAAGGTATCTTTAAATTAAATTATCTTTATAACTAACTATTCGTTCATGTTTAATATGAAAGAATAGTTAGTTGTATAACCATAATAAATTTAGAACTAGCCGTGAAAGCCTCCAAATATTGTCCAAACAAACAATAGGCAATCAATTAGTCGACTGCGCGTATATTACATTCTGTACTCGAATGTACTCTAGATATATAATAATTGGTAACACTTGTGCATAACACTGTACACGGGGTCACAATAAATTATCACACAAGGCGTTGACACGTTGTGAACTATGTACATTCGCGTTGACAGTTTCATATCTTTATTAATTATCACTGGGTACTGTCGGGAATAAAAGTGAGACTAGGTTCTTTCTCAAATGGTGTAATAAAACTGAGGATTCACGATATCTCCTAGCTTTGTGTTACCATAGCCATTTTTCAATGCTTAAAAATAATCTTTGAAGATTTGATATAAGTTCTACGAAAAAACTGCAAACAATAATCCATTACTTGGTCCATTACAGTAATTGGTATCCTAATTCAGTTATTGAGTTTCCCATGTCAACCTATGTCAGAGCTAGGATAACCTTTAGAAACTGAAACGTGTTTTGCACTCGCCAGTACCCAGTATTGAGGAATCGAGCAAAACGTCACAAAACGTAGGTAATTAATAACGAAACGGATGTGTGATAGTGATGGATGAACGAAACCGGTTAATCAAACTATCTTGACGCGGTGATTTAATTAAATTTACGGTGAAGATGTACCACAATTCTGGTTATATTTATATTAACCATGATTCCAAGAAATCTGTTTGCCTAGGTATATTGGAAGAAAATTATTGTTGAAGGTACTCTGTGAATGTTCTTTAAATTTGTTATCTAGACTTCTTATAAGCAAATGTTAAAATATGATATTTCATATAAGGTACGATTATGAACAGAAAAACATTCTAATGATTTTTACGTAAAGAAGTTTCTTACTTCTCTTTAAATAGAGAAGGTAAGACAAGGAAGGTCAGGTAAAGGAAACACTCCGGCCTTATAACACCTACAGGATGCGCTGTTGGCCTTTAGATATTTGGAAATCACCTGACAAACCGAAACGCGAGACTTCATGACTTTTTATCTGCAGAGGAAATACGATATTCCTACCACATGTTTCTAATCAATTATAAATTTTCTGAAACATGTTGGACCCGGTGGAAATCGAACCCACGACCCGTTACTAGCCATCTATTACCTGCCATATACTACAAAACGAACCCGTCAGACTTCTATTTAAATTTCGAATAGCACAATTCGAAGTCGAAGCAAGGTTTATTATGTGTAGAGATAACGCACAGTAGAGAATATATTACTACGATATCGTTATCTAAATATGAGCCGGAGAACGCGCATAAATCGCACCGAGGCTTTGTACCGACCACTTGAAGCCACTCGAATGCCTCGTAAAGACTGGAGTAATTAACCTGCCGCTGTCTCACGATGGCCACCTTCCAATTATGCTGTGCAGAATAAAGTCTGCATAAAGACGACGTCATGAATTCCTCGTAAAATTGTATCTGGAGTTTACGCAAGTAGCCAGATTAAATAACTGCTTTAAAGTAATGATTTTTAAGTTGAGCTACAATGGAACCGCGCCCGAAATGTCGCAGTGTTCTTCAAATTGTTTACTTAAATATAATTCGCGTTTTATTCTGATTTAAAATTTGATAAAGGTAATTACAAGCTTTTTATCCTAAGTACAGATTGTTATAATAGTCGTTGATACTCTCAAACAGAACTTTTGACGAGCTCTTTAGTTGGTAAAAATGAATGGTCCGAACATCACCGGGCTCAAACTAACAAATTTTCATTTTTCTGAAATCTGTAGCTTGGTCTGGAAATCTGAATATTAGATCCGCCCGGGTAACGCTAAAAAAGCCTCGCGTTGTAGTTTTAGTTAATTGTTTTTTTTATGGAGTTAAAAATACAATGTTCAAAGTCACAAGTTAACTCTATGCTTGCCGATTTCCCTCTATCATTAAAAAATCAAGAAGTTCTATACTATAATAAGTTAATACAATCTAATAAAAAATTAATATATTAACAAAATCTACTTTTGTGTATCCATCACAATTCTTTAGTTGACTTGAGTTATCACATTGTATGCGAAATGTTAAACCCACAATTTCAATGTTTTAGGAAGGTATATAAATTACAGTTATATCAGTAGTTAAAAAGCTATCCTACTCCTCCACAGCATTGTAAGAAAATTTAAAATCTATTCAACTAAAGTACAAGAAGCTTCCTATTTATTTGTATTTGGGCAAATGTCCCAGCTCCCAGCAGAGATACAAAGAGCGTAATCTTGCTGCACTTAGCAGATTAACTAACGTGCTCCTGTTTGAATTTCTGGACTAAATCAATACATATTCGACGAAACTGCCTATTGAAAGGTGGATTTCAACATTATTATTTGCAATAGATATACCATACCTAAATCATGGTATTACATATGTATTGAAATATTTTGCCTTTTCACGATTTCAATTAGTTTCTTATACTTATTTATAGATCTACATTAGATTGATTATTTTGACACTTCTTCAAGCTATAAGTATCAAACCTTCATTTATTAATTAAACACATTAAATCAATATTTATTTATATTGAACACTTTAAAAATTACATTCACTAAAAATTATAATGTAGCTAAACTGTTATACGTATTGCCTAGCATTGTGTTAAACGTGATAGGTTCCGAGATCGATTCAGGGACAAAGAATATACTATTAATACTACTATTAATAAAACCGATCATTTAAATAAAACACTTTAACGGTTTAAAACGCGGTAAATAACTAATATAGTGCGTTTTAAACCTTTAAAGTGTTTAATTTAAATGTGTACTACTCGCGTAAACTATAGACAGTATTTAAAACCGATCACTTGAACGGACACAGAAATGTGTTCGTCCCCATGCCACCAAGAGTTACTGTTATCAACTATCCGCATTTACATCCCTTAATAGGCAAAGTGTAACCTTTATCCCATATAATTATGTTGTTTTATTCTTTAACCAAACTTAGGTTAGGTTACATTTAGTTCGTCTTGTTAGTATCTATTTTTGTTACAACAGAGGAAGACAGACAAGCAAAGGATTCACTTCATTCACACGATTTTTTTATTGTATACGATGACTGGAGTATACAATTTCATTGTATATTCGATTTGAAAGACGTACTAGGTACCTTTTCATTATCACAATGTATATTCAAATATATTCAAGTACATACCTCTGGTTCAGTGGTTGATACACGTATCGCGGTGTGTTTGCCTAAATATTAGGATTAAGCCTCCAAAGATATATAGATATAGGCGTTATAATTGTTGTCACGACGTAATACACTAAATACTAAGACGCAATTACTCTTCAAAACGCTCTACACTCGCGAAAACGATTACACCACAATGACTACCGTAGCTTCGCCGATACGCGGGCGTTATTTATAAAATATATCGACTCAAGACCGGCTCGCGCGCTGGGCCTCAAAAGTGACTAACAGCGCGCGCTGTACATCAGCGGCCGCTGTCAACCGTCGTTCGATCGGCCGTCGCGGTATCGCAAAAAAAAACGCAACTACCCCAGAAAAATATAACTACCGTCGAAAGCAATTTAGAATACAATTGAATTAAAATTTTAGAAGGTAAATCAGTGATAAAGACCGCTTTATATTGATGATCGTTACCTTGAGGAGAACTTATGCGACGCCAGGGCAAGCTAGTATTTTATGATAGAGGAGAACAGACAAGCATGCAACTCTGTAGAAATAGTAATATCTAAAAAGTATGAATATGAAGTAATGAAATAAGAATCGTAACAGAGGTACCCCAATGGTACCACGGTGCCTCAAACGAATAAGAAGCCTAATTACTGGGGACTGCATAAACAACGAGCTAAGATTGTTCTGCTCGGGAATAAATTGATGGTTATGTCATTGTTTATTCAGTGGGGCATTTATTCTGACGCCCACCATCTCCGTGGACGCTGATTGCCCATTAAGTAACGAGAACACACTATTATCTAGTAGAAAATAAACCTTAATACACTACTTTTTCGTGTCAATATAATTCACTAAAAGCTTACACTTAACTCTGTCTGTGTGGTATTTCAATGTCCAGTTAAATTTTATTAAAATTCGTTGAGCGTTTTTAAGAAGAAATAACAAACATTTATCTGTCGAGCAATAAAAACATAAAATCGAAGATTAGGAATGGATAAATTAAATTAAATTAACGGTTTAAAACGCAGAATATATTAGTTATTTTACTATTTATTTTAGTTCTACGGTATAAGTTTTCGGTTGCTAGGCAGCAGGAAATAAATTAAAAGGTAACGTTTTAAGCCGTTAAAATGTGTACATTCCGCGTAAACTACAGACAACATTTGTTTAAGAATGTTTTATAAGCTGCAAATGAAACGAGCAATTTAACCAGAGGGGCAGAGAAGCAATATGAAATTGAAGAAAATAGATATTACAGCTAACTCTGAATGAAAAATATGCCATAACTGAAAGAAAATTACTGTAATAAAAGCGAATGTTCGCCCGCACTATGACAGAAAATTAAGTCGCGTACAACGAGTCACTTTTACGACTTCAAGACGGTAATTTATATTTCAATTACTCTATTTTCATATCATTTCTCTTGATATTGTACCGAGGTACGTGTTCGTCTTGTCTCTGTTGTTGTTGGCAAAATATTACCTTATTATTCGTTTTAAAGCTTGAGTTATTGTTTAACTGTATTTT